GTCCAGCTGCTTTGACACCTTCATACAACACCTTCAATGACATGCCCTGCAAGCAAATACATGCTCTCTATGATCTGCAAGCAAATACATGCTCTCTCTATGATCTGCAAGCAAATACATGCTCTCTCTATGATCTGCAAGCAAATACATGCTCTCTCTATGATCTGCAAGCAAATACATGCTCTCTCTATGATCTGCAAGCAAATACATGCTCTCTCTATGATCTGCAAGAAAATACATGCTCTCTCTATGATCTGCAAGCAAATACACACTCTCTCTATGATCTGCAAACAAATACATGCTCTCTCTATGATCTGCAAGCAAATACATGCTCTCTCTATGATCTGCAAGCAAACACATGCTCTCTCTATGATCTGCAAGCAAATACATGCTCTCTCTATGATCTGCAAGCAAATACACACTCTCTCTATGATCTGCAAGCAAATACATGCTCTCTCTATGATCTGCAAGCAAACACATGCTCTCTCTATGATCTGCAAGCAAATACATGCTCTCTCTATGATCTGCAAGCAAATCCACACTCTCTCTATGATCTGCAAGCAAATACATGCTCTCTCTATGGGTTCCCCTATGTCACCACTCTTACTGAAATCAGACGTCTCCACAGCGCCATTCAAACCCCTCTGTTGGTACCGGAAGGCAGAGGACACATTCTCACGCCCTCACATCCCTTGTAGCATACAGTCGGAGAGGGTATGCATAATGCAGTAAATACTGTACACCACATGTGTAATACTATTGGGCACAGTGAGAAGATATATAAAATCACCTACCCTGCACAATCTTCCATCTCATGGCTGTGAAGAGCTGTGTCCGGAGGTTGTGTCAGTGGCGGCACTGTCATCTCTGTCAGGGTCTGTGAAGAGGTGTGTCCGGAGGTTGTGTCAGTGACGGTACTGTCATCTCTGTCAGGGTCTGAGAAGAGCTGTGTCCGGAGGTTGTGTCAGCGGCGGTACTGTCATCTCAGTCAGTGTCTGCAACAACATCCAACACAATGAGTTCAACTAACTAGCAGCCAAATAAACAAAGATAATCCGGCATTGCTCTAGATGTATTAATGCTCTGAAACCATAGTAACCAACACCATTGATTACGTACGTTTTCTGGCAAATTTAGATGTGAAGATGTATTGCCCAGGGTACCAGGCTGTGTGGCATCGGTTCAGCAGCAGGTCTGTGGCCCTATGGAATGAAAACAAGTAACTCCATTATTGATCAGAGCAATGAACAATGATCACTAACTGCAGTGTGTTTTAAAATGTATGAATTAATAATTAATCCAAAGAATGCTACTGAGCATGGTGTATCATTACGGAATATTCCTAAATTTAAGAAACCAAACTGAGTTGTACAATCCAGTATTTAAATTGTTCATTAATATACATTCCACATGAGAAATGTTTAAGTTATGCAGAATATATAAATATACTTACTAAAAAGGGTTTAATGCGCCTTTATAAACACAACAAGTGAATAATATACATCAGAGAACTCACCCTCCAGGCTTTGTGGCACAAACTTCTTTGGGAATATTAGCCAGAGCAATTTATTATGATAAGGGTCTTGAGTCCCAATGAGGGTTCCGGTGAAACCCCTTATCTAACTGTCGTGCTGGTCTGCTTGGGGGAATTTACTCAGCAAAGAGTCCGAAGTCACAAGAAGCTAATCACAGTTTTATTAACAAGAACAAAAACAACATGGGGTGGCCACAGAGAGTCCATACAAACCTCTGGGCTGAGGGCTATAGCTCACCTGTGTTGGGAGTCTAAACCCTACTTACAAACATTTGGTTTTCAAACTATTTATCTACAATTGAAACTATACAGAGATTAAGATTGGTTGACTGATACAAAAGTGGGCGTGCCCTATAATAGCCAATGAAATACAGAAAATACAGAATGGGGTGTGTCCTATATGACCAGACAGTGGCGAGTACTTAATCCTGTTAATCCTATTTCAACTGGCACTAATCTTGTTGGCACATTTACTATATACTTGGATGCTTACCCTGGGCTAGATCTCTAACGAGCCTAATTTGATGAGTCAGTTATATGTGATGACATGTTTACTTCATAATATAAATAAATCAAAGCAATTATTCAACAGTGTATACCTAGCTTTGTCTTACTGAAAGGTGTGACTAACAGCTTGAGTCCTTGATACCTTAGTCCAGGATTTAACTTGAACATCTGTGAAATTGTGCAGACGTAATTACAGGACTGTGTATACAGGATTGTTTCCCTGCCCTTTGGATATTGCATAGATGATAATCTCACTAGCGGTAGTGCCCATACCGTTACGCATGCAGTGCCACATTTGTGACGTCACACTGACTACCACACTGACTGTTATTCCACGTTCTGTAAATGAACAAAAGTGTCTGAACCACAAACACCTATACTGCTGACTGAAAAAAACAATACCACAGAGCAAACACATACTTGAATGTAAATAATATTTTAAAAACTATTTTATGTTATATCTAAACATGCTTTGCCATTTCCCAGGTAACCTTTTGTACTATATAAACAATGATGTCTACAACGCGTGAATTAATCGTTTCATATCATCATAATGTTTGCATGAAAATCACGAAAGTATACAGTGGAAGTTATCTGTATAACATGCCGAACATTACAGTTGACATGACCAACAGCGCGACACCGGGTGTTACACAGAAGAGAGTGGTAACAATGAAACAGGAAGTTGCGGAAGTCTCCCAAGGATGTAACCATGCACTAATTGGTGGGGGGCAATAAATCCCATATCGTTTGGGCTGGGAAGGAAGGCTGAAGGGTCGTTTTGCTCTGGATAATGTTGCACAGTGTTGGACACCCTACACACAGTATCATTCATAGATTGTCTGATATATTGCAGCTGAATGTTGTGTATTTGATGTGATAATAGTATTGATAATAAGATATCTTGATAATGTATTGATATCCAGCCCCAGAAGGTTGATCTGTTGCATACCAATGTAGTCGGCGCCATTTTCGGCCAAGTTTATCAGCCCACAATACGGGCTTGAAACACGTTCATAAATGCTGTGTTGGGAAAAACGCCCATCACATGGGCTTAACTTGTTGTTGTTGTTGTTGTTGTTGCTGTTGTTGTTGTTGTTGTTGATGATGATGTCATTGTTGTAATTATTGGTTGTGGTGGCGTGTTGCTTAACGCCGCACTCAGCAACATCCCGACTATGTCGTGGCGGTCTGGACCAGACAATCCAGTAATCAACTGTTTGGAAGTCGGACTGGCTGTGCGTGTGACCGTGTCTACTGTTTTACAGGATTGGACATGATACACACACTGCGATAGCCACTGAAGCCAGTAAAACAACAAACAGCGGACAGTACAACAGGTTCGAATCGCCACATGGGTACAATGTGTGAAGCCCATTTCTGGTGTTCCCCGCGGTGATGTTTATTGCTAAAAGCGGCGTAAAACTCAGTCAGTCAAAAGGTGTTTTTTCCTCAAATTGGCAAAATGTCTTCATGTTTTCCGTGAGTTCTTTCTATTAGTCATAGGTTCAAGTTCTCTGTATAGAGGAAGGTCTAATTAAGGCGTCGTGAACAAATATTGTAGAAAACAATGTTGAAGGCGGGATCGACCCAGGAACTTTTGGAATTGCTGCAATGTTAGTTTCGTCCCTATATGTCACAGGTACAGGGAAAAGTGCCGTGCCGTGCCGTGCCGTGCCGTGCCGTGCCGTGCCGTGCCGTGCCGTGCCGTGCCGTGCCGTGCCGTGCCGTGCCGTGCCGTGCCGTGCCGTGCCGTGCCGTGCTGATTCTTGCTATCGACTACTAGTATGCATCCATGCATCCACCATCCATACATACATACATACATACCGTGGCGTGGCGTGGCGTGGCGTGGCGTGGCGTGGCGTGGCGTGGCGTGGCGTGGCGTGGCGTGGCGTGGCGTGGCGTGGCGTGGCGTGGCGTGGCGTGGCGTGGCGTGGCGTGGCGTGGCGTCCTAAACAAACGTCTTTGAGAGGCATTTACATGTTGGGGCACGAAGAAAGGATAGCAATTAACGAGCGTTCGGTGTAGGTGCTGACACTTGCTTGTGTTAGAAGCTACACTGAAACGTGGCTCCCACTGTAATAAACCAGTTGTTCATACATTTAAAGTTATCCTTCCCTTTGGTCTTAATAACGTGTGGTGGGCAGGTTCGAACCCGGTTGATTGTGTCTCTTATTTCCTCCTTTTGAACACCTCCACGTTAACAGAGGCAGTGCTAACTAACTAACTAACTGAAGCGGCCTACAAATTTCGGAAAAGCAGCCGTTCACAAAAACTAATGATCATTTTCACGACGTGGCTCCAAACCTGATCCAAAGTACGAGATGATTTTCACGGCTTTAGTTTTATATGAACTATGCTCATATCTTGTTTATATAGAAGGTATAGGAGTAGTTTTCACTGTGGATTAGTGTGTCTACAAAGCAATAATTTCAAGAACATGAGCGTGTCGAACCCAGGACATTCAGGATGGGAGTTCGACGCGCTTCCATGTGCACCAGTCGACTTCACAAAGATGATTGGTTGGTTGGGGGGTTGGGGAAAATGGGGATGTGTGGTTTAAGTTTCGGTACTGTATCACGGTATTGTATATCTGATCACCTGATATCGCCATACCCTCACAAATTAGCTGTCTGCTGACATGAGCAGTGCAGCAAGAAGTGCTATCCTGCTGTAAAATATTATAGTACATATATCTTCTTAAGTATTTAGCTTGGCTTGATTCAAGCTTTCAGTAATGATTGATTGATTTCATATTAACTTATATATTGTATTGCAAACAATACAAAAATAGGACACCCCACAAATGCTAGTGTCTCTCCATTTCTCTTTCGGCGCCCTTCACTCATCCAATCCTCCCTTCCTCTACCCGAGAACCGAGCTTATGGTCAAGTCTTCTTCTTGGACGGACAGCAGACGTCTGGAAATCTGTGACGTCAGAACCAGCGATGATGACGTCACTACCTCTGTACTTGAACTCACAGGCCTTAATTGGTCCTGAGGCGGCAAACAGTGGCGTGCTATCTGCTCGAATTTCAGGTAACCTGTCTAGAAACAGGGGGTTATTCATCACGGAATTACTCATTCTAACATGGTCAGTCGTGTTAACCAAACTGTTGTGGTTTAAACATATGTTAGTCACGGTCCATTAGGGCCAAGCAAACACGATATAACATACTATGACAAACATTTAGCCTATTGTGGCACGATTCGAACGTGAATCGACGTGTTCCTGATGGCAAAGGAATCAGCCTTGTTTTGGGGAGTTGTTGTGTCTATTTATAGTTAGGGGATATGACTTGGGTGGGACAATGTGCCCTATTCCCTCATGAAATAATGATGGTGTTTTTAGAGCGGGACCCCTTTCAACGTTAAAGACTCTCATTCGACAGGAAGGATTGTGCTCCCTTCACTTGGCTAAACTGAAGGTAGCGTGTACTTCGGATGTGCAAGTAGGGCTTTGTTCTACGATATATTGATATGAAGTGCGTGAGTGAGTGATTGGGTGAGTGAGTGAGTGAGTAAGTGGGTGGGTGAGTGAGTGAGTGAGTGAGTGAGTGGAATTTTGGGGGTAATTCAGTGAAACATTCCACTGCATGGCAAAAGAAAACACTTGTTTTTCATGTAACATGGACTCATCAAGTATTTTGTTTCATTTACATTTAACTGTTAAATGTAACACTGTTGATGTCATTTGACACAGTGACAAGCCCAAATATCTATGGCAACCTTAATTTGTAGAAACAGATCAAATAGATATCCATTTGACTAAATTACTGATGTCATCCATTGTGGCCAATGCATTCCCATTTTGAGTAATAACGCAGGGTGCACATTGTGGCCATACAATACCCCTTTCTATAACTTACAATATGCAGTTTGACTGGTGAGTTGCCCTAGCCGAAACGCCAGACTTTCCCCACACTGAAACTCTAACCCCAACCCAATCTGGGATGGCTAAACAATAACACTGCTCCGAAATACGACAGTACCGACAAAAATTGACCAAAGAAAAAAATGTGCAACTTTATATCAATGTTCTTAAAAACATCCACTTCAGACTTTCTGCAGCATCAAAATGCTTGTGGAGTTTTCCTTTTTATTCCAATACGATCTTTGCCTATACCAGTTCATAAGGATAAGTGTAATAGTTATCTGTTTCAAGTATTTTCTTCAGTGTTTTTGTCATAATACGAACCTGTAGTAGTTCAGTAGACATAACGCTGGGACTGAGGCCGTGATAAATTGTGTATCCTGTGTCATTACTGCTGCAGACCTGTGCTTCTATATGGACTGACATGTGTGGGCTGTGGATACACAATATGGACACTGTCTGCACAGACATACAGGGCTTGTTTTCATATGTAGTTACATTTCGTAAGCTTGACATACAGGGCTTGGGAAAAAAATATCAGAATGACAACGGTTTTTATACCAACAAGGGTAAGGGATGCTTTAGCAATAACAGCAATCAGATGTTTTTGAGCGGATCCATAGTCATCACAACGTATTTTGTTCTGGCCTAAACACTACATAATTCAACATCAAACTCCGTATGCCAGAAGAATTACATTATGTCAAAATATTGACAGCAGAAAGATTGAGATCAAAATACAAAAACTTCAAAGTATAAAAACGACACAAGGCGCGCGCCCGCCGTACAGGACTCAAAGAATAAACGTCTTTCTTTCTCACTACAGCTGGCACGCGGCAAGGTTGGTCGTCGGGGCCTGACGTCATAGCTGGCGCCGTGACGTCATATGGCTGGCGGTGCTGACGACATAGCCTCTGTACTCTAAACTCACCACTGTTTACTTGTACCCAGTTGTTATGGCAAGGTACTGACATGCTCCTGAAGAACTGAAAAAGGCAATGTGGGTGAAATGTGACAATTTCAGACACTTAATACACTCAACACTGCCAAACGCGCTTTTCACCAATTCAGTTGTGTTCACACCCCCACTGAAATAATACTGAGTGAGTGAGTGAGTGATTGTTTGTTTGTTACAGCTGAAGGAGTCGGTGTGGGCACAAGGACCACTGATATATATCCCAGATTTTATACTAGCCGAAGTCAGAACACAGAACAGTACCCTAAATGTAATGTTTAACCCCTGTAGTTCCGATTCGCCGGATTACGAGTCCATATCCTACACATCGCGACATATAAGAGTACTGTATGTACTACACCTTGAAGGTTTGTGCATTGCGCCAACGGTATGTTACAACAGTTCCGATTCGAACACTGAAGACAATATTCTATGTTTACCTAGAAGTGACCTCTAGGACCACCCAGATAGCATGGCCTGTGAAGCTGATCTTCGATGACCCACAGATGGCAAGCCACTGCACCCAAGCAGACCATCATTTGCAACCATCATCCTATTGCTGGTCTATAGGCTACCTGTGAAGATCCGGGTTACAATTGTTTTTCGTATCAGACGACTAACGGGATCGTGTGGTCAGGCTCGCTGACTTGGTTGAGTGACGTCATTCGTCAGATCCCAATTGCTCATCATGTCAACAATTCACTTGACTGCCACAGACCAGTTATATAGCTGGAATATTGCTGTATGTGGTCTTACAAACCAAACAGAATCACACAGTCCACCACAAAGAATAAAATCTTGTACAGAGTTGAGAATCCATAGGCTGTGTGGCAATATTTTCTCGAGCTGTGCCGGCAATATTTTCTCTTTAGTCAGCATCTATAGGCTGTAGGCTGTACCCGAGCTGTGGCAATATTTTCTCTTTAGTCAGCATCCATAGGCTGTACCCGAGCTGTGGCAATATTTTCTCTTTAGTCAGCATCCATCGGCTGTACCCGAGCTGTGGCAATATTTTCTCTTTAGTCAGCATCCATGTGGGTAGGCTGTACCCGAGCTGTGACAATATTTTCTCTTTAGTCAGCATCCATAGGCTGTACCCGAGCTGTGGCAATATTTTCTCTTTAGTCAGCATCTATAGGCTGTACCCGAGCTGTGGCAATATTTTCTCTGTAGTCAGCATCCATAGGCTGTACCCGAGCTGTGGCAATATTTTCTCTTTAGTCAGCATCTATAGGCTGTACCCGAGCTGTGACAATATTTTCTCTTTTAGTCAGCATCTATAGGCTGTACCCGAGCTGTAGTCAGCAATATATTTTCTCTGTAGTCAGCATCCATAGGCTGTACCCGAGCTGTGCAATATTTTCTCTTTAGTCAGCATCCTGTACCCGGCTGTACCCGAGCTGTGACAATATTTTCTCTTTAGTCAGCATCCATAGGCTGTACCCGAGCTGTGGCAATATTTTTCTCTTTAGTCAGCATCCTCTCTGTAAAAACAAACAAAAGCAAATTACAACTTTATGTAATCTGGCTGTTACATTATGTTGAAACTGTAGGCTACAGCAAACCTGTATTTTATTTCCAACATCTGAATTGTTTATTTATTTCTTGTAAAGCTATGTGCTAGATTTGTTAAAGATATACTCTCATATCCAGAACTGGATTTCGCCGTAAATAACGTTTCTTGTTTGCGAAAATATAAATGTAACGACGTTGTATAAATTCATGGAACATTGCTACAACAAACAAGCTGGTGCACCACGAGCAGGCCGCCAGCTACACGTATTGACCACTGTCGACTTGCTCACTGTACATAGCCACCGACGGACCGATGACGTCGTGTGATGTGGACATATTTGTGATGGTCACAGTAACTATTCATATACTTCTCCGGAAATCTGCAAAATGGAAGGATTGTAAGAAGGTTGCAAGTCTAAGTCTGTTTCTTGGAAACGTGTATTGTGTCATTTGTATGGTGTTTGTGTTATGCATTATTACCTGCAAAGCAAACTTTAAACACATATATATCATGGTGACTGTCAGCGTATATAGCACGTCGTATGGGTTGTCTGGTCTACAACTAAATACTATAATTTACACTGACAGACTTCTTTTGTGTTAACCCTTGCTGAATCGGAGACAACAAATACGCAAGCAAACTATCACTCTGAAACATTGATACAACCAATGAGTTGATTTGTTGTTGACAGAATGTAATTATTAAAATTTGAAACGCCAATCAATTTACCTTAGACAGCCGGGGAGCGACATGGCGACGGTCACGTGACCTCGTAAATAATATTTCATGTGTGCGTAGTTCAATTAACCATATGTTGCTGATGCATTCTGGGTATTTCTGGGGAAATATGGACACATGAATATCATAATCACAGCAATACTTTGAGAATTAATATGGGTATGGAAAAAGGACACATGACTGTTTCAGCAAAAATCCATTCGCAGCTGATGTTTGTAAGGCTGGATTTACACTACGTCAGCATTTTTTGACGCATGCGTTACCGAGTGTGTTTTTTCCAATACACTAGGTGCGATCATCTGCGATATAAGCCAGTGCGTTTTGACTCTGTCATGACATCAAAGGTTGCTTTTATGCTACATAGATGAGGAGGAGGAAGAAGAACAGATGGAGTAAGACATCCTAGCATCTCTGGCAGTTTCAGTGCATGAGGAAGAGAACAGAACACGGAGATGTTGGGTTCATCCCTTAAACCAGGGAGACTATAAGACGTGCTGTAGATTATAGTTGTGGTCCGATTAATTGAAATAATCGAAGATTGGTCGTAGTGACAAAACGACCAAGCAATCGATCATAATTTCTCATAATCGAACACAACTAATATTGGAACACTTGTTTTCATTAACAATATTTTTCTCATGGTTGGTTTTGTCTGTTACATTTTGTAAGCACTACAAGCTCGTTTCAAGTCATGATTGAATTTATCTTAAAGGCTCCAAGAAATTTATGTTCCTAACATACTAGTCATCATACTAGTCAGATATGAAATTTTGCCAAAAGCCTCAAAAGAACGACATGTTTATTTCCTCATCTTTATGTGCATTAACAAATTTCATAAATGACGCTAACCAATTTTTCGATGATTGATCGGTTGTAATGAA